TAATTATATACTTTATTTCTTTATTATTAAATAATAAAAAATAAATAATTTTTTATTTGTTTTTTAATATTTATTCTATTTTGTGTTCTTCAAACAAACTTTCCAATTGAAGTGCAAGCAATAATGATAAAAATGCTTATGCCCAAGACTTTCAAGTTCATTTGATTTATTATGAGGCATGTGTGAAAATTAAAGATGCAAAAATTTTAATTTTGTTAATATTTATTTAGAATCTTTAACTGTGAATTACTTAGAAGTTTATATAACCTCACACCAGTGATTATTTACATATATCTTTATTTTTCTATACAGTCACTTCCATTGTCAGATTACCAGTCAAATTACATTGGGTAGCAACTTTTGCATCCCTAAGTCATACTTTTTGGACAGGACAGTTTGACAATAATAATCAGTGAAAGGATTCACAACATGGTTCAAAGGTGGCAAACTTCTATGATTCAGAAGATAAAAAAGCAGTTTCCTAGACTTATGAATTCAATTCAATACATGTGTAACATTACAATATTTAAACTTATATGAAAATTACAACCAATTGCAATGTTACACATGTTTTGAGTTGTATATAGTGTTGTCATATTTGATGTTCCATGTTTGTTTTCCTTTAAAGTGTGTTGCAATTTTATGTAACAGCCTGTTGATGGCCTTTAAAAAAAGCTGATGTTTGCTTCTGACTATTAGAGTTGATGTTGATTTAAGAAAACTTATAGTTTGAGTTCTTTCTTATTTACACTTAATCAGTTATCTTTGAGAATTTATAATCTCTATAATTTTTAGTGCCTAGATGTCCTAGCCTTACTTATATACTTATATATACACTTTTAAACTAGAAAAAAGCTGAAAATTATTTTAAGAGTTAATGGATTAAAATTTCTATTCCAAACTCTTGTTATTGAAATTTTTGTAGGATTTCATTAAATCATTTTATAAAAAATTCACCATTGAAAAATGGTAATAATCCAATGTAGTACCAAGTAACTAATAAATAAGTTATTACAGGTAGTCCTCCTACAACACGGTACCTTTACAACGCATTTTCACTCCAACGCGGTTGGAAAAATGCAGAAATTTTCTTACAACACAGTACTTTTACAACACGGTTTATGGTATTTAGAAACGAATTATCTTCACATAACAGAAAAATTGCAACGGATCACATGATATGAGCCGCAGTTCGGCATACAGAGCTAAAAGTCTTTGAAAACAGCTGTTTGTGGATGTTGGCATGTTATTCCCTTGAAAGTTTCAGGGGAAGACCTGTTTCTAGACAGATGTGCATCAGTTACCGTAAACACTCAAATATATCACTAAATTTTCAATCATTTATACTCTTTCAATAAGTGGGGACCGCAAAATGGTCCAAAATACAATATAAATTTCTATTGAATGTATATTTTTAACAAAATAGTAAAAGGAAGTTATTTTTTGCAGTTTTTACTGTCCACAAAACTGATTGAAAAATTTTTAGCCATAACAATGCCAAATGAAAAGAAAGGACTGTCATTAAAAAGGAAATTTATAAATCTTCAAACAAAGATAGAAATTTTGGATTGAATTAAAAATCAAGAGCGTATAGCTGATATCAGTAGGCATTTTAATTNGAAAATCCGTCTAGCATAGGGAAAATTGGGGAATTACAACTCGAAACGGCAAATGCATAGCAGTGTTATTGTGAATTGGCATAAATTGAACAGGCGTAAACCGAGGGCTACCTGTACTAAAACTTGGTACTTTGATAACAATAATACATTAATATCAAAATTGAACTTTTTAATATACAACCTTTTGAACAGCTGAATGCCATGGAGGACTATGGATCAATAGTTGTTTCCAGTTGACACAACAAATGATTTGTATGGTTATATATTCTAAATTAATTGGTCTGATAGTGAAGATCAGATGGAGGTCTGGGTAGCATAAATGGCAACGCATTTGCACAGTAAGCACAAACTGCACTTATATTTTAAACTAATTAATTCAATTCTAATTACATAATAATGACTAAACCACTTACTTTCAGTCCAAATTACATAGCATCTGTATATTTAATTGCCCTAACTATAGCCTTATAGTGAATCCTGTTTTTATCATTTGATTAGTAAAGACCATTCAGGCTTAGTTTCATGTAAGTCTATAAATATATAATAATAAAGACTTGTAATGATAGAAAACTAATATTCTAAAAGTAATAACTTTTTCATTTTTAATGTAATCAGATACATTTTATTTCTATTTAAAAGTTTGTTTATAAAATATATTTAAGACTTAAATAATTATAACAATTAAGTTTTGCTCCATTCCTTTTGAAGCTTTTTCCAAATGCTATTCATAAGATTTTTGACAATATTTCCTTCAATCATAGTGACTGCTCTTTTCTACTTCAGAAAATAATCTTTAATGTCTTTTGCTGTTTTTTTTCTTTTTTTTTTTTTAGTTTATTTTTTTACAAGAGACCAAAATCTTTCTATTGGCTGACATTGTGGTAAGTTCAGCAAATTCATGTCTCTAGGTACAAAATCGACTCTGTATCATTTCAGCCAACTTACTGTGGACTTTGCATAGTGTATTATTGCCAAATTTGACCAAAACAAAGTATGGCCACCATAATTTCTTAAAGAACTATGATAACATTTTTTAAAACAATCATTAATATACATTACAGTGCTAACATTTCCTTTTGTCATAAACCACAAACTTTTCAATACACACTGGTAAACTGCTTACTGCACTAGACATTTCAAACTAAACTTTTTGATGCCAATCTGGAAGAATTTCTCTTTCAAACACTGTATAATAGCAAGAGCCTGGAAGTGTCAAGAGGTCAGCCTTCATATACGTTATATTGTCCAAAACCAAACAAGCATTCTTCTTGACTATTAAAAAAATACAATTTTTGAGCTATAGTTTTGTTTTTTAATCACTTCATTTTTTGTTTTCATAAGATCTCATACTCAAATGCTGCTTAACCCTTTGAACCATTGTTTGATTAGTTTCACATTTTTTTTTGCAAAATCTCTCACTGATGTACTGCAGTTTTTGGAAATGGCCTTGATTATCTTCTGGTTGGGTTGTGAGTTGTAAGTACTAAATTTTCCATCGGAAGATGACTTTCAAGAAATAGACATCTTAAGATTTAACACTGCATCCACCATACATTCTAAACACGAGTTCTTGACACACTTGAGGAAGTTTGATGATAGAACCAGTCCGAAAATAGGCAATATTCTCACCGGGTCATACATAGCCTTTCTATCTATTTTAAAGACAAAAAACAACTCTCAAAAGACATGGCAGGCTATGTACAACCCAGCACTATAACAGCCGATGCATGCACACATTTCTTAAAAAATTTTAAAAATTAAATTCAAAAATAGAAACATTCAAAATTAAAATACATTGCAGATGAAGGAAACACCAATCACACCGGAAATATATTTTCTAGAACTCTGCCTAAAGGTCCTAGGGTGGACCAAAAACGTTTGTATTACATTTCCAAAATAACTGCAAAGCATAATAAGGTTGGTGCATTGTATTTATAATTAACACTTGTTCAGTGGATTGTTTTTATAAAATATGTATTTTATTCAATAATTGTTGTGACTTAAATTTGCAGTTTCTTAAAAAATTCAGTTTAATTTAATTTAGTATACTTACATAATCAACAAGACTATGTCTTGTTTATAAAATTGCAGTGCTATTATGGGTACACACCTTAGATGTGTAAGGGGAACATGTCAGGAAATGCAATTTGGCACAGAGTACTAGGTGCCCAAATCACGCAGTCATAAAAAAATCAGACTTGTAGGTACTCAGGGGACCGAGAACCTAGTCAAAATAAAATACAAAATGGCAACATCTTTCTACAAACAGGCAAGGGTGTGAGATTTGCACATGGGTATATTGTTGGGAAATTGGAAATGAGAAAGTTATGACATTAAATTTTGACAAATGAATCTTTGAAAAAACCCATTTACCTCTCTGACTACAACCTGCCAACCTTGACCGGTTGACCTAAGATATCTTGTTTCAGCATCAGAATAGTTTTGAAACTAGATAGCGCTAGTTGTTATAATTTTATATTAAAAGTAACTTCTGAAATATAATTTTTTTTGTTTTTACATTTATTAATATATTAATTTGTTTGTGCAAAATAAAAAATAATTTCGGACAATACAATAGCCATGATTATTTTTTCAAAAATGGGACATGTTTGTTAGGCATCGACAAAAGTTTAACCTGGGGTGACATGCAACAGACAGAAATTTTTACATTGGATATGTTAATTTCACCGAAAATGTCTTGTGGATGACCTCGTAATCGTGGCAGTGCCCAGCGAAGTTTGAACAATCACATCAAGCCCTGAGTCTCTGACACATTGTCCCAAAAATCGGCCTTGCCGTTTTACTTGTTTTTACTATATTTACAACTTTTTAAAGTAATCATTAAATATGCATATACATAATTAATCCATAAATCCAATTTTTAAGTAAAGCCAAATGATCTGTTATATTATTTGGCTATAATAAGGCTAATTTAATAATTAGATATAAAATAATTTGACTAGCAGTAGATGTAAAGTCATCCCCAGTTGGCACTATGAGTGACCATTATTGTTATATCTAAATTAATAGCTCTAGAAGTAAAGATCTGACAGAGATCTGGTTAGTACAATTGGCAAAGCATCTGTACAGTAAGCAAGAGTTGCAGGTTTGTGTTCAACTCCAGATACTTTTCCAGAAATTCTGAATTAAAATAAATTTATTATAATTATTAAAATTATTAAGAAATGATAGCCTAACTGTCTACTTCTATTCAAATTATTTTACATCAAATTATTAAATTAGCTTCATTACAGCCCAATAATATAGCAGATCATTTGACTTTAAATATCCATACTTTTATTATACATTTTTCATAAAACCATAATACTAAAATAAGTTTTCACTAATAAAAAATATAAATATAATATAAAAGACATTTACTTCCATCATTTCCATAGGCAATAATTTCATGCGATATAACTGAAGAACACAATCTAATAAATTTTTCCATCCTTCTCTTAAGATGTCTCCATGACGATGGGCCAAATTAAATAAGGTTCGGCATGCTAGCAGTGCTTTACTATTACTTCCAAATACAATGGAGAAATGTTCTGAAGACTAAAAATAATAATCATTATTATACTTCTATGCCAAAACAGTATTTTAATGGTTATAAAATTGAAGACAAAAGTATAGAAAATGTTTAGTAGTAAATCATAATAAATACTAAAGATAATAATTCAAAATTAAATAATTAACTAAATGATAAGAAAGTTTGAAAACTACAAAGATAAACAATGAAATGAATAAAAAAATACAAATAGCAAAATGATACCAGTAATATCCAGCAAATAACATTGCTGGATAATGCTGGTATCTGCACCACTTGGACTTAGTTGGGAGCCCAGTACTTGACTATGTCTAGTGGTGCAGATTTGTCCAATGATGGCCAAATCTGCTTCTCCTTCCATAAAAATAGAGAGAATACTCAACCTCTTCATCACCTCTATCATTAATGACTACTCTCACACTAACCAATTCAGAAGCCTTAATACAGTGATTAGTCAACATCTCCTTAGTCAATGAAAAAAATCCTGACTAGTGAGTGATTTCAACTCCATCCTTCAATCAAGATTGAACTCTGTTTTTTGTAAACTTCAAAACTTCATATTTAAACATATCTTTGAATCACAAAATCATCATTGTAACATCATGAAACTAGTGGACATTATTTCTTATTCCTTTGTTCTTCCAACTTCAAAGGGTAGCTTACCTGCAGAGCAGAGGTATCTAATGACAGCCTTTCTAAACTAGTTCTTCATCGTCTTGAAGACGACGTTCTCTGACCTTTTAATGATAAAATCATTCTTTACATCTGTCATGTCAACAATATTTCCATAATCTGGTGACATAAACTGAATTTACTCCAGTTCTTAACATCCATGAACATTAATCTCTATGGCATCTCTATCACATTTGTGTCAAGCAACAGTGTCTTTATCAAGTTCACTTTCTGGACATCCTTTTCACACTCACTGATGGCCACATTTTGATTAAAGTTTACAAAAAACCAGAATACAAGCCACTATTCATTCCATCAGAATTTAGAGACCCTTATCTATTTAAAACATCTGCCTAAAGAGTCCTAGTCAAAAGAACTTTTACCTATTGTATGAACATCTAAAGCCTGTGGTTCTTAACCTGTGGTCCATGGACCACTGGTGGTCCGTGAAAGCACCCGAAGTGGTCCGTGAAGTTATCCCAAAATTATTAAATAAATGACGATGACAGATGGTAAAAACTAAAAAAAAAGAACTTTTATTTTTAGTTTTCACCATCTGTCATGCATGTCTGGTTTTAATTATTCTTTGAAGTTAATATTTATATTCAAAATACATTGCATATAAACACCATTAAACTTGCATCATTTTTTAAACTTCTGTGGAAATCTTTGAAAACTGTGTAAGTTAATAATATTGAATTATGTCAAATATTAAAATTTAACCATTTTTCATCTGTATCAAATGTTTCTTTAAATAAAAATTTTTAGTTTAAAATCTTATTAGGAACAACACAACCACAGTTTTGTCTTTTGTATTTGAAAGAATGCTAAATATAAATTTAAATTCAGTCCATTTTTACTTTCCTAGCTCTGTTATATATAACAGAGGGAAAGTATGGCAATCAATCAAAAAAATGATCCCCAAAATTTTTAATTTTTGAACTACAGGATCTTGAAATGTTGAGATACAAAAAAATTTCATGGTTTTTTTGCATGTATGAATGTTAGTGTGTTTGTGTGTAGGGCAGGATTTTGTTCACCCTCTTTGTTGAAAATTTCTGAAATTTTTCAGGGAGATTGGTGTATTAGAAGTATCAATGCTGTTAAATTTTTGGTGGTTAAAGATCAATGGGATGGGAAGATAAAGGGGGGGGTCATGTGTCATATCTTGAATAGGGTTGGACTTAATTATGATTTTACTTGTTATCAGCATTTACAACTTTTTTTTATAAAACCCATTCCTACCCTCAAAATTAAGCTTTTTTTCCATTTAATAATTAAAAATATATAAACATTTTTAAAAATAAAATAATGTCACAGATGGTAACCCACACACAGTTTTAAATGTTGCCGGAAAAGTTAAACAAAACTGTTGCTGGAGTTTTTAGAAAGTACATTATGATGTAGCCTGACAACAGATACATCTGCAATGAAAAATGTTTGTCAATATTAAGTTTTCTTATGTTGTTTGCTTTATATCTAGTAGAATTCACCGACATCTTCATGAGTTACTTAATCCACTTTAACTAGATTTGTCATAAAATCATTAAATTTTCTGTTAGTTTTAAAGGCATTGTTAATTAAGAAATAAATTCTTTAATAAAAACATGCAATAAACCATGAAATTGCAGTAACTATTTTAACTTCTGATGTTTTCAGAATTATCTCTATAATCAGAATACTGAAAATGTTCAAATTCTGTAAAATAATACTAACCTCAGAAGATAATAAAGTAGTAAATTTGCAAAGAGAAATGACCAAATTATCAAAAACGTCACTCATTCCATAATGTGCAGAAATCATAGCACATTTTCGAAAACCCGAGATTGACTTTTGTATTATAGTAGCTTCGGTACTTTTGTCAAAAACATACGATAATGCTGCAACTGTGGGACCCCAAATAAGAGAAAATAAATCATGATCAAAAACTCCATCTGGAGTATGTATAAACGATCCTTCTTTTCCAGATCCTCTTCTTAGTAAAACCTGTATTGAAAAATAGTTTTAATAAAACAACAACAAACAATCAAGAGCTTAAAGTTTATTTTAATATAAGTTAAATATTAATTTTTGAACTAAAATTAAATATATAATTAAAAAATACATTAACATTTCTATATAAAATAACAATGTTAACATAAAATGATGAACTGATAACTAAAATAAAAACCTGAAACTGAAAAATAATTGATTCGATTTTTTAAGTGTGAATATAGAAATTTATGCTGATTTAAACCAAAAACATAATTTGAAGTAAAAATAATTCATGAGCATTTTTATGCTTACTTTACTCCTTAATAGCAATAACTAAATACTTAAAAACTGTTACACTAGTAAAGTAAGCTACATCGAGAAACTGGAAATAATGTTTTTCGATGTAGTTAGCCTGAGCAAGCAGTGTAAGCAGTAACATGTCTCAAATAAAAGATTATAAGTGATTTATTGTTAATAAAAGAAAAAAATATGATGAAAAGTACAGATAAAAAATAAAAGTGTAATACTAAAAACATTAAATAAAACTGAACACAACTAAACTAAATAAATACACTAAACTAAACTAAAAAATAAAAAAGTACTAATAAAATATAATTATTTTGCATTTAAACGGGGAAAGTCTTTTATAAATTGGAGCCACTCATTAATTTAAAACCAGCTGCATTTGAGATTTTGTCCAGTCTTGACTGAGGGAACTGTCTCCTTCTATCTTTGATAATCCTAGACAGGTCCAATCTTATGCTCCAGTTCCAGAAGGTTCCAGNAAAAGGACCCTTAGGGGTGGGTGGGAAAAAAGGGGCAATACCAGGACGATGGTTAATGAAATTCTGTAAGCCATGCACATGACAATATAATTCCTCATTTTTCCGACTGAGCTCTTTTAAACGGAATGAAAAACTGTGCAACGGTGCAGAAACATCGAGTTACCAGTTAACGGAAATTTGGAAAACGTGTTTGTCTGTCAACCTCAACTTAGACAATGAAGGTGCGATACCTGGCGAATTGGATAGTCGCTTCTAATTCGGTCGTTTTAAACATGCGACTACAATCTGAGAAGTCGTAATTACTAAAAAGTAGTCGGGACAACCGTATTGTGAAAGATATAGATGCTCGGTGTTTCCATGCATACTTCTTAATAAGACAGACTTAAAAAACATCCGTTCTTAAACCAGCTCTCGTCTTCCAGATGTTTTTTTTTTCTAATGTAAATCGGCCGACAATGTGGACATTTAGGTGAAGGTTAGGCGAGAGAATTCCTTCTGTGCCGTAGTATAACGTTTGCTTACTAATCAACCATCTACACACTAATGTGGTGCAACGCGACCACATCAAAGAAGAGTGTCCGCGAGGTTTAGTGCAATTTCGTGATTCGTTCCCCCCACCCTTTATTGTCCTGTGTGTAGCGTATTGTAGGTGGAACATGTCAGGTGTTGCCCCGGGCTGATAGTAACAATAGGCTGCTCACTACCGACTTTTACCTGGGGCCAAGTCGTTATGAAAACCTGATGTATTGGGTAAACGTGGAGACGGCTTGTTTTAATCATACTTGCTCCTCTCGCTCCGACGTCGGGGACGGTTAGAAGAAGAAAGAATAAAAAAACTGCGGCGTTCTGGTAATTAGAACACAACGGGCCAAACAGACCCAATCCCCAGGGCAGAATTAGAGAACATTAGCTCTAGTATCGGGCAGTGTGTCAGAGATATTTCCCTCGAGGTGGTCGCTTTTATTGATCGAACTACCGATGGCCGTCTACAATGATTGGGAGTCGGCAAGTCTTCCTTTCCCCTCCGCCACCACGAAAAAAAATACTCTCTCCCGTTTTGTGTGCGGCCTCATTGCAAATCATTCTGACATCTAAAGCGGGGGAGATGGAGTGCGGCCGGGTATATAGCCTAAAACAATTTAAACAGGTTTAACCAAACACTTCTGCCCAGCGCTAGCCACCTCTTAGTCCTTCGTTTTAATAAATGCGTTCTTATCTGCCTTGGCTGCCTTTAACTGGCTTTGCAACGCACTATCTGTCAATCATCGTCGTTCCTTTCGCTTTCACTAGAAATTCCTTTTCAACGCACGAGGTCAACCGATTTCGTTTCAAGCGAACCAGAAGGGAAGACCTACTTTTCCCATTCTTCGCGATGTGTGACGTTATACCTACAAACCCACTATCAATCGACGGCGGAAAAGAGGGGGAATTCGTCAACATCCGTCATTTGTAGATAAAAGATAAATAATAAATCTCTTTATAAAAGTTTTTCATTATTCTCTTCTGAATAATCACGTGCCAGATTCTACTTCCGTAGCATTAAACCGAGGAAAATGTCTACTTGCGAATGAGAAGTATTTTGGCTCTAGTAGTAGTAGCCTGCTATAAAACGAGTCTGAAGCAGTACATTTGTTTTACCTGCTGCCATGCCAACCTGACTTAGACAGAACTAAAATTGTCATTAGTGATTCACTGGAACCCTCCTTCTTTTCTCCCGTTCTCAGCTTTGTGCCAGCAGCTCTCCAATTTGGCTATGCTCAATCATTTGGCAGCGAGAGAATACTGCAACTCTCTACTACAGCTGATACTAGTGGAGTGTGGATGAAATATGGGACTGTCAGCCCCCTTTCCTGTTCTCTGCCGCTGCCTCATTTTCATTCGAAGTTCCCTTGTAGCATTTAGGCGCCTGTTGCTTAGTGGAATTCCAAACTCTTCTTTTCGCACTAGCCTTGTCAGTTTTACTTCATTCTATCTTTCAGACCTTTCTGTCCGCTATTGGTGATAGACTAATTTCACTAACCCTTCTATAATGGAACTTTCCATCAATTATTCAGTGAAATTGCTGCGCACGTTGCTAAAATTGGACTCTATAATTGGTAATTAGAAAGATACTAGATTAACACCTCCCTTTTTTTCTCCTTTTGCTCGACTTGGTCGAATCGAGTTTTTCTATCTCTTTTTTCTACGATTTGCCTTCAGGGAACGTAGAAGTTGAAGGAAGTTGCATGTTTCAATTAGCTCACTGATAATTTATTTCTACTCGTATAAGGAAATAACAGGAGATTTCCCAGGTCTTGACACCTGCAGCTATCGTCTTGATGACAAATGGTTAGTTGGTGGTGGACGAGTTCGTGTCCAACACCTGCTGCGACATGTTATGGGACGGATAAATCGCCATTAACGGATGGGTTATTCACCTCCATTAGTAAAGTTACAATGCATTTTGATTCGGTGGCCGGATTATCGCGTTTTCTTACTGGGACCGAGGGAGGGGAGAACAGAACGAGCTAAACCCCATTAGTAAAACGTAAATAATAATAACAATAATAAAAGGAACAATAATAAAAAATATGGCCAAGCAATAAATTGAACCTTCCTATTTACGGAGTAAAACAAATTGGATCACGTGACTGACACAACGTGGAACTTTTACTCTCCGTTGGAAAATGGGTCCGACGGATGAGATAGTAAAGCTCACAGAAAGAGAAAGGGTGTGGATGTTAAAATTCACCCATTGTGCACCTGTGTACGGATGGACTAACAGGGTCATTCGGTTGAGCAAATCTGTGCTTTTTTTCGTAGTCTAGTAAGCAGTGAAATCATCGTAGATAATTCTCTGCATCTAACTAACTATAAACCGCACATGACGTTTAAATCCGCTCTGCTCATTCCTAAGTCTCATCATTGCTGCGGGTATTTGCAATTTGCCTCGGGCTGGATGCTTAACTTGTACAGGTAACGGTGATGGTTTTTTTTATCTTGTTTCATAGCGGAAGTTCCCCTCTCCTCTCGCTTTTGTTTAAAAAGCATTTTAAACTGTTGAACAATGCAGTGGTTTATCATACATTAACTTTTCTTCGTCGTCGTCTCTGAATTCCTTTTACTGTTCCGACAATCCACAAGCATTTACTGTATAAGTTTAATGTCGGTAATTTAAATAGTTAGTAATGTATTGATATCTTAAATTTTCTATGATTTAGTAAGCGGAGGTTGTTATAAATTGCCATTTAATTAGTTTTATTGTAATTGAAAATAACCGTCCTCTAGTGGGAAGTTCGTAGGATCCGTTGTTGGAAAGTAAAAAAATGTAAAACTTCCCGTTGGGACAGAGTGGAGGCGCGTGTACCCAATTTGCTTCTGCGATGTTGCACCGCTAAAAGGTTAGGTATCTACAGCTTATCGGCGTTAATTCTCCAACTAACCACTCTAGCAATTCCCAGTAGCGAGCGGTTATCTGCCGCACAGACAAATTACTCCACTTTGAATCGGAAACCCGGTTGCTCCGTCTAGTGGATCTTGTGGGAACTAATAACGGGGGTTTTTTAACCGGGGAAGTGGCGATGTCCGACCCCTTCCCTCGGTCGATTCCAGGGGGGCGAAAGGAGCGGAGGAATCGAGTCGCTGTTTAAACGCGGTGCGGGAGGCACATAACAAAACAATGGCCTCCTAGTGGATGGCCCTGCCCCATCTTTTCATCTCCGGCGGACGGCGACACGAACGGGGGAGTGGGGGCACTGCAGATTGAAGCACCATCATTTGTCACATGTGCGAGCGCCATCTTGTGGGATTTGCCGTCGGTGGCTGGGTAATTGAAAGTGGCGTCGGTGGTGTGCAGTGCGAGGCGAGCCTCGGGCGGGTGAGTGCGCCATGCCATCACCACCGGAGACCGACCGTGCGCTGGGATTCATCACCGTGTTGCTGGGGGTGATGTACATACTACACAATAACTATGGATTTTGCCCGGCTTTCTCTCTAAAATGACAAGCATCTGATGCTTGTAAGTATGTCTTTTTTTTTAGTTTTTATTGGCATTCGCAATTTGATAGGTGAACTCGAGATTTTCTTCCGAAAATAAGCTTGGATGTTAGCTAAATAAAACAATTTTTGACGATTTCTTTTTGTTTCTCTCCTCTTCTCTCACATTTTTCAATTTTTCGAAAAAATATATTCTAGATCATCATTCTCAATAATTAAAAGGAAAAAAATCTACAAAGTCAACCCGCAAATGACTGCTTCTATTCGTAATTGTTTCTGCTTGTCACGTGCGATATAATACAGATGTGATAAGTGATATTTCACTAATTTTGATTTACTTAATCGCTGTCTCTTATTGAAAAAACAGAAATCGCTTCTCGAATCATCTTCCTTTATTTTCGATTCACTCTCAAATCGGTATAATGTATTTAATGATCGGAATGTTAAAAAAGTTTTATTCTTTTTTATCTTACAGACCCCGTGCCCAGTTTGGAGCACTGTCTTTCCATCCAGCAGCGAGCTATGCGAACTCAAGACTTAGAGATAGAGAACCGACAACTGCGAGAAACATTAAAAGATTACAATCAAGAATTTAAGGAGGTCAAAAATCAAGGTAAATATTTTATTATCTGTAATTATCATTTAGAAAAAATATCTTGTGAATGGACTTAGATGAAAATTGAGACCAGATATGCAAAGCTTAGGGGCAGGAGATCCCAATTAACCATAATGTGACTTCCAGTCTATACCAGAAGTTGATATTGTCGCGCCGGCTCTAGAAAAAGACTAGCACCATGATGCGGAGAGTGGCAAAAACAAAAAAAAAAAATGTTTTTGAAAAAGAGAAGGAAAAAAAAAAGAACAGTTCGAAAAATTAGGATGTTCGAAAAGATTTGTGTTTTTCTTTTAACGAGTTACATAACGTTTTTGTTTTTTAGTGTATCTAAGTAAAAGTGTCAGTTTCGGTAAACTGTGTTCTGAATTTATATCCCGAGCCCCATAGCTCGTAACAANGCACATTTTCGAAAACCCGAGATTGACTTTTGTATTATAGTAGCTTCGGTACTTTTGTCAAAAACATACGATAATGCTGCAACTGTGGGACCCCAAATAAGAGAAAATAAATCATGATCAAAAACTCCATCTGGAGTATGTATAAACGATCCTTCTTTTCCAGATCCTCTTCTTAGTAAAACCTGTATTGAAAAATAGTTTTAATAAAACAACAACAAACAATCAAGAGCTTAAAGTTTATTTTAATATAAGTTAAATATTAATTTTTGAACTAAAATTAAATATATAATTAAAAAATACATTAACATTTCTATATAAAATAACAATGTTAACATAAAATGATGAACTGATAACTAAAATAAAAACCTGAAACTGAAAAATAATTGATTCGATTTTTTAAGTGTGAATATAGAAATTTATGCTGATTTAAACCAAAAACATAATTTGAAGTAAAAATAATTCATGAGCATTTTTATGCTTACTTTACTCCTTAATAGCAATAACTAAATACTTAAAAACTGTTACACTAGTAAAGTAAGCTACATCGAGAAACTGGAAATAATGTTTTTCGATGTAGTTAGCCTGAGCAAGCAGTGTAAGCAGTAACATGTCTCAAATAAAAGATTATAAGTGATTTATTGTTAATAAAATAAAAAGATAAAAAGAATAATAATTATTTCGCATTTAAGCGGGAAAAGTCTTCGATTAATTGGAGTCATTCGTTAAAACCAGCCGCGTTTGAGATTTTGTCTAGTCTCGACTGAGGGAACTGTGTCTCCTTCAATCTTCGACAATCCTGAACAGGTTCAATCTTGTGCTCCAGTTCCAGAAGGTTCCAGAACAATGCCACTACCACAAACTGCTAGCAAGATATTCCAGAAAGTTCCAGAAAATTTTTTTGTTGAAATAAATTGTGGGAAATTCCCCCCTAATTAGAGCTAGTGAAAAGTGCCATCTAGTGGGGATATCAAAAAATATTTCTTTTAGTATGAGCTACAGATAGTATACAATGTATAGAGCAGCATTTCTCAAACTTTTTTCTCGTGTGATTCAATATATTTGTTCTTAATGGTTCCATAACCCAAATATCTATAATGTAAAATTTTTAAAAAACATGATAAACTAGGGTCACAGTACATTATATAACAAAATAAAATTATGCATTATTGATACAAGACATCCTTATTAGTTTGAACTTGGATAGTTCAAAATCCATTAGTTCATAACTGTACTATTTGCCCCAGGCAGGGAGGGATACAGAGATTTACATGTTAAGAGATACGTGTTAAGGAATTCAGTTAGTTTGAAATACTGTTATTTCAAAATTTGAAGTGACAATTCTGTTCAAACTGTAATACAAGTGTTTTTATACAGGGGGTGATAAAAGAAACAAAAACTGTGTAAATATAGAAGATAAAAACAAGAGCTGGATTATATCAGTTCTTTAGGGCACCAATTTTGACTTAATTCTATTCATTCTATCTCTAACTGCATNCATATTTGACCCATCCGCGTACCTTTTACCTCACAACAATTGGTCACATGACCATTCTCCCACGACAAAACGATAAAAGCCACTTGCTTCCCTCTCTCGGGGGAGTCGTTCATCCACCATCACTTAATTAATTAAATACTGTGTCCTATTTTTATATATTGTGTCCTACGAATATTGTGCCCTATGAATCTTGTATCCTACAAATATTGTGTCCTACGTATACTATTAATTTCCTCAAGAAAAGTATCAACATAAAGAAATATGTAACAAATTTTTGTGAACTCTCTCTCAGCCCTTCGCGGTTTAGGGACTCAGAATTTCCCCTCGTTAATAGTTATTGTACCGTCTATGTAGATAGCCAATAAATTGTTGTTTCTTTGTTAAATTGGTGTCGTCTTTTGCTCATATATCGCCTGTCACCTTACCGATGGCACTCCTCCCTCCTCCATTCGATCCAAACAATTAAATCCCATTACCATGGGATAGGGAAGAAGAAACATTTAAGCCATCTTGACAGTGAGCAGGTTTAACAACCTGTCGCCGGAAAGGGAGACCTTTAACCTACCCAGCGGTTCACACTACTATGCATACATAAAACAAAAAAAACTTTCTGTAATCTAAGAATACAATATTAACTGGTCAAAATTACTCAATATTAATAAATGTGAATCATGATTTAAACACCTACAATGAGACAGTTATAACCCCACAGTAAAAGTGCACATCAAAAAATAAACATTTTTATAATTCAAACAAACAGAGTACCTTCCCAAGAAAAGAAATAAATTGCCTATTTCACTCAGATGATTCATTAGATCAAAGCTGGATTGGATAACATTAACAATCCCACAAAAGGCAAAAGTAGCACACAAGCAAAGGGAGAAACATCTTAGTGCTGAACCCAAAAGGGAGATATAAAAGTTCTTATTGAACTCCAAAAAAAAAACAAAAAACAAAAAAACGGGGAAATGAGTGAATGCCAAATTCTAACAGAAAAGGAATACTTATTGCAGCATTTTTAGACACTGGGCACTTACATAATAATGCAGTATTCTTCTTTATTGGAGCCATCCAAAAAACCCTGAGAAGGAAGAACAGAAGAAAGACCAATAAAAAAAACACTGAAACACTAACTTCTGGGAACAAGAAAAGTAACAGTAATGCCAACAAACTAATGGCACTTTATAAACCCAAAATGACTGAAAAAACTGGTAATAAACATTTGCAACACTTTCTCTTTCTGTGAAGTATTCAAAAAAAGTCACACTGTATAAAAAGCATATTGTGTAACATGTACAACTGTGGGAGAATATGAGTCCTTCCCTAAACAGTTAATTAAATCTTTGTTGTTTTGTTAATTAGTTGTTTTCAAGCAAGTAACTCTCCTTCAGAACCCACACGATGGTAACCCTTTCACAAAACAAGAGATGCTGTCCAGCCATCACTCAAGCTATAGGCAACACAAGTAAGTCAAAAAAGGTCAGGCAGAACACCACATAATTATAAACAAATACAGTAAGACTAATAACATTTGTGCATTTTTATGTTCATCTGACATTTTTTTGATTCATGGATGTAAAAATTTGCAGTGGCCAGATCGATCGTCAGATGAGCACTGTTTTTCATGAAGTACANAAAACTGTGTAAATATAGAAGATAAAAACAAGAGCTGGATTATATCAGTTCTTTAGGGCACCAATTTTGACTTAAACAAAAAAATATCAAAACAGGCTCTCGCATCGTATTGATCAACTGACAGCCATGGAGACTCTCGAAATATATAAAGCAGGATTACGTAGCATGTGCATCAACTCCAGGGATGCAGTGGGGATATCTAGCGCGTGGAAGTTTTGTTATGAGGGAACCCCACCCCAGTAAATGAGTTTGGAGTACGTATATTTTATATGTTTTCAACGTTTTGCAAACATGAAGTGGTGCGTGCTTAACCGTCGTTTCAGCACATGGGTAACGTTCCATTTTACTCTTAAATTTGGTTTTTTCTAAAGTTTGAATCGCATTTGTTTAGTTTTGTTGTTCCATTCTGCATACGTTCGAATTCCATATAACCGTAGCCCAATGAAGACCCAGATGGGGTCGAAAACGTTCACTGGTGTGTAAACACACATCACTGGAGTTACAAAGGTTTTTTGAATGTGGTAAATATCAAAAGACTGATCAACAAATGTATGATAAAAAAGAAAGAAAAGCAAACACAAGATGCATGAGCAGAATATACAGTGATAGAGTATGGAGCTCTGCTGCCTAAAATGTACAAGGAAATAGGTCAAGCAAGAAAAGAAAGAATAATCTGCAAAAAACATCCAACAGTTTACGAACTACTCTGGAATGACAAACAGTCCAATGACCCAAAACATGAACTGGAGATTTACAAAATACCCCTAAAAGATAGCAGAGTTAAGCAAGAATTACATTATATCACAGCTATCATTAGATCACTAGCAGCAAGAATTAAATGAGTATAGAGACATCATCAATAAAGCTAACCCTAACAAAGACTCAACATATGTACTTGCTGATCCTACCTTTGTCTTGGTGGCATGAAATCAAGCTAAAATAATATAGAAAATTAACAAGAGGCAGATAAAAATTCCAAAGCTTGGTAAATCTATAAAGCAATTCAAAGGGGGGCAAGAAATCAATTTACAGAAACTGCAATGCAATATTGGGAGCATGGAGAGCATTACTAATATGATACAGAGAGATATAAAATTTATTTATGCCTATTATATATAATATATACCGTATTTTTACAGAATGACCAGCGTGCTGGTCTATTTGGGGAGACCGAATATCATTAGATATCTCTGTATGATAAAAACAGACAAGCCAGTTTATCCCAGGGGAATGTCAGTTTAAGTGAGATCATCATCCCTCTTTAGAGGGCACATTAAAAAAACAGACAAGTTTTTAAACTGTGAAACTGTCAGCATTACATCATAAACTACTATATACGTTTAATTTTGTCATTTTGTCTTCTTTCTAACAATGTAAAATACTCGAGGAAATCCAAAAATGTTTTTTTTTTTTTGGTGTGTATTTTATTGTTTGATTCAAGAAC